GTAAAACCATGTGAAATCACCTGTTTCAGTACCACTCATCCATGTATAGCGCCGTGGCTCGCTCATGGAAGCCAACCGTGCATCCACAGAGACTGTGAGATCTAGACAGTCCTTGTTAGAACATTAGGTGGGCCGTTCAATGAGCTGCTACCTTCAGGAATTGAGTCCATTTCAACGAGAACACCACGCTCAATGTCATCTTGATGTATTTCTTCAACGCTATACTGCCTTTCCGTATCCGCCGATCCCCGTTGGACTCTCCTATAGTGCCGAAGTTGTCGCCCGTCAACTACCACCTTCACTTCTTTTCGAGAGGCATCTGCTCTACGAAGAACCTGAACGGAGAGCACTTTGTTACCCGTGGATGACATAGGCTACCTCATCTTAGAAATATCGATTGGTTCCATTTTATTGATTTTTTACACTTTTCAAATTAAACTGATGACAAGTGGTACACAGAAAAAAATTCACAATGCTAATTGCGAACATGATAACTAATCGAAAGGTATTCATTTATCAGTTTTCGCTTACGCTCTAGGGTGCAGAAAATCGGTGAATAAGGTTTGTTAACATGCTGACTACTGATATGAAATCATTCGCGAAGTTATCTTTTTTTTTCTCAAACAAGTTTTTTTTTTTTAAATTTTGCTCTTGGCTACCACAAATGAATGGGTTACATGCCGAATTATGAATACATGCTAACATTCTGAATAGAGTTAGAGTGATTTTGAATATTCATACTGGAAATTTTGAAATGCTAAACCGGACGTAGCCAGATATGAAAGGTGGTAACTTCAAAGTCAAACGTCTATTTAAAAGTCTCAAAAAAAGACATATACGGAAGTTTTCTATTTTTGGGGAATTAACGGGAAATACATCAATCCAACAGTGTATATTTCTGCATTGTTCTCATGTTCATCCTCTCCATTCCTTTATTTAATAAAACCTAAAGTGACGTTTGTTTCTATCATTTTTTTGGGGTGAACAGCTGTAACCGGTCACTCTCAACTATAACCAACACTTACAAATAATATCACAAAATTCTTGTA